AGGGTGGGAACAAGAATCTGGAAGGGAAGTCTTCAGGCCAGGACTGAAATTTCCTTATTGATCCTGTTGGCCATCATATAACAGATTTTTCCCTAGCCGTATGGCTAGGTATGGAATATTCCCTCTTTTGGTGCCTATAACTGTGCCTAGTTATACATAGTCCATTGATTAGTTAGGGACTATGGCTATTTTGAAATGGGTCATCTATATTCAACCAGGTGGTCCTGTGGACCCTTTCCACATTCCATTGCTCCAGCCTGTTTGCCTGAAAGTGGCCTCCACACCTATGTCGCAGCTCAAGTCAAGTTCCTTGAGCTTTTTGTTCTATTCAAGCCTTAAACTGAGTGAATTAAGGCCCACCCACCTTAGGGAGAGCAATCTGCTTTAGACAGTCTACAGATTTCAAATGTAAATCTCATCTACTGAAAACACCCTCACAGATACACCCAGAATAATGTTTGACCAAATATCTGAGTATCTAGTGGCTCAATCAGATTGACACATAAAATTAACCATCTCGGTGCCTATATTGAGAAATCACTTTTTAAAATACCATAGCATCATTATCACAACTAGAACATTATGAAACTGTGAAATTGAGGAAAACCAGGGAGATAAATTGTTTCTACACAACTGAAGTTACAAAATGATACTGAAATGAAAAGAAAGTGATTTAATTTTATTACAATATATAGAATGTGGTACTTCTATTTTGAATGTTACACTTTTCTTGCTATTTGAATAAGTAATCACCTTTGATTTCCTACAAATGCAGAGTGAATACTATGTGTGCAGGGGAAAGCAGAGTATGGGAGAAATACAATGTTCAAATTATTAAACAGATTTTTAAATACTTTAGAATCTTGTCAATGTGCCTTGGTATCACTATACAATTAAGGTAAATGTCGGCTTAATTTCTTTATATTTCACTTACATGATCATTTACTATAAGGTTTTGCCTTTCAGCCTAAAAGTACGCTTGCAAAGAGCACACGGCTTTTAGGATTGAGATGGTGATTTCATTTCAGGTCTTCAATAGACTTGTGGTAGGAAATTAAACAAGTGACACAACCACAGTCATTGCCTGAACTTGCTTATTTTATGAACTGTAATAAAAATGCTTGTTATCAAACATTAAGTATGGAGCGTTTTGAACTCCTTGGATGAAATACTTAATTTGAATTTACTCAGCCTTGTAAATAAATTTAAAAGATTAATTGACCTGCACAAATTTGTTACCAACCTTCTCTCTCCCATGGTGACTAACTTCTAGTAAAATGAAGGAAATTAACATTTCTTTCAATATCCCCCTCAGATATTAGTGTTCACAGGAGTTGAGCAGATCAGTACCTCTTTCTTACCCAGTATAGACTCACCACAATCCAATAAAGTGTTGTGTGGGAAAACAGCTTACATTAGGGTAGAATACAGTTTTAGGATCACGGAAGGTCTATGAATTTGGCCTAGATTTAAAGTAATGAATAACACAAAGATTTCCAGAACAGGGTTTCTGTGCCAGGAATGTTCTCCTTAAGGGAAATCCCTAGATGAAATGACTTGGGGGGAAAAATCCAGTCTGAAAATTGGGTTCTTTTTTTGTCCTATTTTACTCTGAAAGTAGCTACGAACAAAAGCACTAAAGAACAAAATAAACAGAGGTTTGAGGGTACAGCGCTTCCTTCTCTCATCACTGGTTAAATCACAGGAGAATAGGCAATACAGGAGGAGGCAGTGAGCGAGAGAGACAGAGAAACAAAGAGAGGAGAAATAGTATGAGCTGGTGAGATAAGTCCTCTCCAGAACTTTGCAGGAAAACTGTGGGCTTAGTAGGTCAGGAACAGATCCCAGAAAGACTCCTCAGAGAACTGTGTTGTTGCTGATTCTCTAGTTTTGGATTGGCTTTCTTGAATCTTTTACCCTTCGTTTGTGCTTAACCCCGACAGGAGACTCAAATAGCCAAGAACTTCCAACTGTAGGTTCCAGGCATTTGGGCCTAACAATGCTACTGTTCTGTACTCTAAGTCGACATTTAGCACCATCAATGTGGTTTAGTAGATCTCAACCTTCAAAACATAATTTAAAAACAGTTATAAATAGGGGCACCTGGGTGGTTCAGTGAGTTGGGCATCCAACCCTGGCTCAAGTCACGATCTCATGGTTTGTGAGTTTGAGCCCCATATCGGGCTCACTGCTGTCAGTGCAGACCCCACTTCAGATCTTCTGTCCCCTTCTCTCTGCCTCACCCCCACTCTTGCTCTCTCAAGAATAAACAAAACATTTAAAAAAATTCTAAATAATGCTCATTCTGTCGCCATCTTGATTGGTTTACAAAAAGAATTTTTACAAATGACAGAGGTGGTAATACAAACCTTTAGGGAAAAGATAGATTTATTAATAAATGGATGAAGTAAAGCAAGCCAGAGTAGGGAAAAGAATGTGGAAGTATTTTAAGGGATGTAATCCTGAAGGTTGGATGTTGCCTTTTTGAGTTGGCTGAAAAATAGAGAACATATGAATGATGATGTAGCTAGAAGGAATCACAGAAATGGAATGCTATGAAAATATGAGCTAAGCAGTGGGATTAGCCATGGCAAGAACAGAGAGACTTGAGTATCTGTAATGGCTTCAAAAAGAATGTCCTGGGCTGGTGAAAGGCCGAGTAAAACAACAACTGTGCTTTGTGAAACTTGTAGGGCAAACGAATGAAAGTAATATCAAATATTACATTTACATTTCACATTTATTTTTTTTAATTTCATTTTTTCAGGGACACGTATTATGGAATTTAGGATTGTTGGGTTTTGATCCATGACAATCTTCTATTGAGAAAAAAAAATATTTCTAAGGAAAATTTCCTCACAGATTTCTAAGGAAATATCAGCGTGGCTGATATGTGGAGTGCATATTAAGAATTCGGCATGCAAAGATAAATTAAAGCCAAACCTATGTTTCCACTGATGTTGAGTAGGATGTAAGTTCCAAAAAGACACGTAAATAAGGGGAACCATGTAAGTAAAGGGAAAGGAGACTCCTTGTAAAAATTATTTTTAATTTTGTTGGCTAAGCAGCTGGGAGAAGACTAGATTCTATCAAGTCCTTATTAGAAACATAAGAGTGTAACAGTCTAGGTTTCACAAATATAAATGCATGTGGCCACCATTCTGTGAATTTGAATGAGTGAAGCAGGCTGAGCGTGAGACACCAGTGATGGGAAACTGGTAACTATCTTGTCTGCCCAAGACATTCAAAATTCAATTAGGAACAAAAACATTGACTAAACAAATACCTTCAAAGGTGCCAGTTCTCAAAAGCTGAATCTGTCAAAAATACTTGGAATTTGTGCATGACATAAAGTAGTGCCTTTGCTTTTTATAATCCAGTACCTACGGGTCACTCTTTTTTGGGAATATGAAAACTCTACCTAAACTGTCCCAAGTTGATCTAAAACTTTCAGGAATCTTTGCCCCAGGAGTGTATCAGGTAATGAAAGAGAATGAGCTCTCTTTTCAGAAAATCAGGCTTTCAAAAGACACAATTCGGTAGGGTTCACTATAAAAATTTTTAGTTTTTTTTTCATTACTCAAGGTATTTATAAATAACATTAAAATGGAAGCTTGTCTCGTTTATAAATGCTCACTCACACAGGCTTTCCATTTTAAGCGATTTTCACTTTGTTGCAAAGATCTTTCTATTAGGTCCTCAAAGAAAATTGGATAGGTTTTGAAACATTATTATATGTTTGGAAAATCTAGCCCTGTAGTTGAAAAAAGTTGTAAGAATTCATGTTCTAAATATTAAACTACACATTTCTAAATTTTTGATCAGTTATATACATAAAGTATTTTTGAAATTATATCATACCAAAGAAACATGGCGGGGGGGGAGTATGGTTGAAGAGTCAATGTCTTTTTTTAAATGTTTATTTGATTTTGAGAGAGAAAGAGAGCACAAACCAGAGGGGCAGAGAGAGAGGGGGACAGAACATCCAAAGCAGGCTCCCCACTGACAACAGAGGACCCATTGCAGGGCTTGAACCCATGAACAGTGAGATCATGACCTAAGCTGAAGTCAGATGCTCAACCGGCTGAGCTACCCAGGCACCCCAAAGTGCCAATGTCTTGATTCAATGACAAACATATATTGAATACATTATGCTGGACATTAGATGTGATGTTCTCATTGCTGTTGTTTCACTTTTCTCATAATTACTGCTGAGGAGATTGGCATTTTTTCATAAAATTTTCATACTTGAGACTTAAGGGAATATACTTTTAAGAATAAACGGAGGGGCACCTGGGTGACTCAGCTGGTTGAGCATCCGACTCTTGGTTTTGGCTCAGGTCATGAACTCACAATTCATGGGTCCAAGTGCCTCACTGGGCTCTGTGCTGGTGGCAGGGAGCCTGTTTGGGATTCTGTCTCTCTTCCTCTCTCTTTGCCCCTTCCGTGCTCATGCTCGCTCTCTCCCTCTCTCTCTCTCTCTCTCTCAAAATAAATAAATAATTTTAAACAAAGAATAAATGGAGAAAATTTCTTCTGTGGTTTTCAAAAATCATTCTAAGAAGAATGGAATTATAACCTGCAAAGCCTTCCTTTAAATTTATTGGAAAACTTGAAAAAAAAACTCTAAACTTTTTAGGGGCTCAACATCATTTTAAAATATTTCAAATTAAAGAGTCATTACAGTTCTTAATAATCTATGATAAAAATATTTGTGAAGCACCAACAGCAAGCGGAGTTTGATTTGAGCCAGCACTAGTCACAGTTTGGTGAGCATCAGAACCATAGGGAAGTGTTACCAGGTAGGCTCCTGGGCTGCATCCTCAAAGGTTCCCATTCCCATTCTGGAGGACAAGGGGGGAGCCTAAGCATTTTTATTTCCAGCAGGTTCCTGGATGACATTGATGCAGCCAATGTATTGACCACATTTTGAGTAGCACTGATTTTGGGGTATCCCAAGAAGCAGAATGTATGCTAACAATTTAAATTATGTTTTTCAGAAAAATAATTTCAACTGCTCCAGAAGAGCTAAGTGTCAAGAAACCAATGTCAGTTCTGTACAGATAGAAGGTGATGCTGATTATTTCATCAACCATCTTGGAATTCCCACCGTGCAGTTTGCCTATGAGGACATCACAGCATTAGAGGTGATTGTTCCTAAAATAATACACACACACACACACACACACACACACACACACACACACATATAGCAGATATGCAGAATTTGATTTTATCCTGGCTGTTTGCTTTCTTACCAAATAGGTCACTATAGGGAGCTGCTTCATTTAAAGAGTTATTCTTGTTGTTCAGAGGCTTTGTAACAGTATTTGAAAACATCAGCTCTTTTCAGTAGTGTTGAATTCAATTTAAAAAGATTTATACTGTCACTCACATTTTCACAGTGTGCTTCGCAACAAGAAATTTGCAGTAGTTGGATTAACATCAAAACATAATTGTAATCTTCAGTATTCACAGAAACAGATGACATGTGCAATAGATTCTCCTCTCCTTGCCCAAGGGAAAATGTGTTTCACGTGCTGTATATTAATGTGAGTCTTGTGGATTAGCTGCCCAAAGTTTGTCAATAGTTTGCGTGCCCAAAAAGATACTACTTTTTTGTGCGGATAGGAGGCTTTTTCCCCAAGATTATCACAGAGGCCTGATTTATCTTAACTAAGTCTATGTTCATCCATCTGTTGGCCTTCAAACCTTTTGATCTGTCTCATAATTATGTCACAGGAAACTTGTTCTCTGCAAAACCAAACCTGTTGAGATATTTTGCCTTTCACAAGTTGTACATGCTTTATTGGGAGCTATTTGAAACATGGGGTGGCCTGTTGGAGGTGATTATTAAATTGACAAAACTGTGGCTGAAAAATAGATTAAAGCCTGCTTTGTTCTTCAACTGTAGATGCTTCTGAAAAGTTGTGTTTGAATTGCATTTTTATAGGCTCAAATTCAGACACATAATATCTTGATTTCTGCTAGCTTCAGGGATATTTAGCTGCATGTTTCTCTGTAGCTCATCTCCCACGCTCATCCCTTAGTTCCTCTGTAAACAGCTAATGGTCACTAACAACTTAAATTCACGGAGGGAAAAACTCTGGGTGAATCCTATTGTAATGGGATGAATTCTTGGATAATGGAAAAGTTATTGTAATTTATCTTTTTTTAAATTGTATTTTCATCTGCTATTGTTGGGTAAAAATGGGATACATGTGTAGAGGTATCTTATCTTTTACCAAGCCTACTATAAACACTTAAATGTAATCAATGTATTAAGGCGTTAACTCATTTTTAATTTTCCTGCTTACTATCTATTATATTTTTTAATGTTTATTTATTTTTGAGAGAGAGAGAGTGTGTGCACGTGACCAAGTGGGGGGCAGAAAGAGAGAGGGAGACAGAGGATCCAAAGTGGGCTCTGTGCTGACAGCAAAGAGCCCAATTTGGGGCTCAAACTCACGAACTGTAAGATCATTAGCTGAACCGAAGTTGGGTGCTTAACTGACTGAGCCACCCAGGCACCTCTCCTGCTTGCTATCTTTTAATATCTCTTCATCATCCTCCCATCTCAGCTCATCCAGCTCATGTCATGTTAACATGTTGAATGATAGCTTTTTTTCCATACATATCTAATTCATCCTGGTTGAATTTTAAGCCAAGAATTTAGGCAGATAGAATAGGATAGCCTTAGGAATGGGTCTATACTTAACTCTTGACTCTGAAACTTACTGGACAAATGAGTTAAACTCTTTCAGAATTATTTTACATTACAGATAAGGAACCTTGGTATACTTAATGAATCTACTTCATAGAGCCCTGGTAAGGATTAAATGAGACTGCATATAATGGACTTAGCTAATATTGAGCATATAATAAGTTCTCCATCAACCATAGCTATTGTGATAGGTATGGTTATCTAACTGTAGGTTCAACCTATTAGTGGAAGAATTTCTGTACTTTTTAGACAAGAACACATTTAGTGGAAAGGGGGAGTTTGTTAATTATTAGGGAAAATAAACTTCTAAGGCTGAAGCGATGGGATCTAATGAGGATCAGTTAGAGAATCTGAGGTGTCAGTAGAGAGATTTGGAAACAGGTCACAGTGAAGTTCTAAGAAGGCACTGTTATCACAGTGAAACTCCTGTGGCTAAAGTCTATCTACTAGAACTGGCTTAGTTTGAAAAAGCTCATCAGTTTTTCAAATGATACCCCAAATGTTTAACTCCCATCAGCAAAATTATTTTTTATTATATTTGTCTCTAAAAAAGCAATTAAAGAGAATCTCCTATGCTTTTTAACAAATGACCTTGTTTATAATGCTTTAGTGTGGAAAAAAATTTTAATGGATTTGTTCCTTGCAAAATATAAATGCTTCAGATGAGATAATTTTGTGTAGTGAATTCTTACAAGAACAAATAATAACATTTGCTTTCTGTGTTAACCTATAATAAATAACTGTATACACTGACAGGAATCATAAACATTGACAGGCTTTATCCATGATATAAAGAATATTTATTCCATGTCAATTATGAAAGCAGGTGAGGAAATCAGAGCTTTTTCATGAATTTACTATTAGATATAAAAATATAATGTATGTATATTTTTACATATCATGTAATATATAATGCATATCATATATAAAATAACATCTACAACTTACTGAGTATTTGATGTGCTAAGTATTTTTATCTCCTCTTACCTAATATTTATAATATCCTAATGAGTCAGCTTTTATTATTAACACTTATTTTGCTGAGAATGAAATGAAGCTTAAAATCAAGTAGCTTATCCAAGGTCATAAAACTAATCAATAGCGAAGATAGTAGTTGACTTTAGATCTGTTTAACATAAGCCTGTATTCTCAGCTATTACACTGAAGTTTGCAAATTGGAAGCCCAAGGGCAAAATCCAGTTCACAGATATATTTTGTTTGCCCTGAGCTTTACTAAAAAATTGCTTCTCCCATGAAAACAATTGGCTAACTTGTGCATTACTCACCAGCTTCCCATGTTCTTTTTTAAGGAGTGCCATGTTGTTTGTCCTAGAGTGCAGTTAAGAAGAATATTTCTTAATGCCTGTTGCTATCACAAGTTGGGAAATGAAACAATCAACCTAAAAAGCCACATGTTTCACCAGACTTTCATTTTGAGTGAAAGAGCCAAAGTGGATAATTCTGCAGTCCTTTTCACTTTATAAATTGTATGTGTTCTAAATGAGCTAAGTTTATGATTATACTCCTGTTTTTGCAGAAATTATCTTTAAATTTTATTTGGGTGATTATAATGCTAACTTTAGTATTTCTGCCATATTTTTTAATCCAGCAGATTGAGTATAGATCTATTATGGTCAGTTTTAACAAGCTAATAATGATAATAGGAAAAAAAAAAACTCTAGAAAAACAAAGTAGTGCCACAGACACCACTTTTAATGGACACATGGGATATTATTCTAAAATTCTTTTTTGATGTAACATGACATTTTATAACATCAGTCCCCAATATTTCATGTTTCCATATTCCCACCAGTACCTTTCCCCTGTAGTGTCTCTGGGTGCTTATAGATTGCATAGATTGCTGGAAGAACATTTCATCTTTAGTTTTTCTTGAGGTCTATAGACTAATTTTCCAATAATTAAATTTCACAAACGCAAAGCAATGTATGGATTTTCCAAATGCTAGAATTATTCCTTCTCATAAAATATTGCCCTGTTAATTGAAATGTCTCTAGTTGTAAGTTTCATTTAAATAAGGTTTTCAATTTGTAAACATTGATGCACCTGTTAGAAGAAGCATTCTGCACAGATTAAAAACAATGCAGAGACTGCTGAAAAGGAAATGAAAAGACAGATGCTTTCTGATTAAGAGTGCAATATTTATGACAGGCTGGTGGTCCGATGCACATTTCTTCTGTCACTTAACAGCTGTTTCACATAATTTTTGTTCCAGATCAGTATATTTACTCTCCATAGGGCATGTCAGAGGGTCTGGCTTTCTTAGTATATCAGAAGATCAATCCATGCCCTAGCAAGCTTTCTACCACAAATTGAAGCTCTGGTTCCTCACTCTGCTTAACCTTATATTTTTTGCTCTTCTGCTTGAAACATTCTATTTTAAACCCAATTTACCTCTATAATGGAGCATTTAACATTTAAATGATAATGAGATAAAGAGGTATTATAGCTTTTATATAGCAGAGTTTTTTGCATAATTGTTTCAATATCATTTAGTAACCCAGCAACTGAAAGCCAAGTAGCATAGGTGTTTTGAAACTCTTATTCTTTTTAGGTTAGATGGCTTTGATATCAATTTTGATTCTTAAACTGATATACAGCAGCAGGAGTGTGTGTGTGTGTGTGTGTGTGTGTGTGTGTGTGTGTGTGTGTGTGAACTTTAACATTAAGGTAACTTTACCACATAAAAATAATTCGTTCAGATAAAATACAGGTACAATACTACAATATACATGTACACATTCTGGAACAAAGTAACTCATGGTTTATATCTTGATTCTTCATGTTTTATTCTACTAAGTAGAAGAATCATCTATTTTACTTAAATTAGTGATAATTCTTTCATTACATTTTCCGTTAGGAGCTTAGTCTTTGACACTGTTATATTAACAGATTATAAAATGGTTCAAAAAGCTCTTGACTTAAGGAACCAAATAGTTGTGTGTAGCTATGCATATGTTGTACTGATGTTTTGCAGTATCTGATAGAATCTGTTTCATCGCTATGAAACTTATGTCACTCAGAAATGAGATTTTACCTTTCTACTTTCTACTTCAAAATGCCAGTGAGAAAGGGGATGCAAAGGGGTGCTTTAGAGTTCTCTCTAGTTCATTACTTTTCTTTATAATTTATTTTAGGAAACGTACTTTCAGTGTCAATCAAAGCATATGGTATTATATTCAGATCAGACTTGATTCATTTAGGGCAGAGGTTCTTAAACATTTTGTTCTAAAAACCCATTTACCCTCTAAAAGTATTGAAAACTCTAAAGAAAAGAGCTCTGGTTTATGTGGCTAGTGTGTGCAAATGTTTACTACATTAGGAATTAAAACTGAGAAAAATGTATATTTACTTAAAAATAAATAATAAACTTGTTATGAATTAATATAAATTATTTTTGAGGGG